CTAATATGCGAAGCACAAGAATTTAAATTTTAACCTTTAGGATAAATATCAATTTCATGTTATATTATATTAAATATGTTTTAAACTTTGAGCTATAGAAGGTAAAAAGTTTATTTTGATCATGAATTTTGATATTTAAATTATTCTAATTAATATATATATATATATATATATTTTGGTTAAAATTGCAAATTCAAGACTTCATAATTGCCATTGTCGGCAAAGCTATCGCTATGTTTTTTTTTTCTTTTTTTCTTTCCTAGAAAATATGGAGTCAACATTTTCTCCTTTATTGTCAAAATTTTATATCCATTTTATCCTTATATTTATTTAAAATTAATTTTAAAATGTTGATATAAAATATTAATTAAATTTCATTCAGCAGATGTGACCTGAATAATTCAATACAATGTATTTAATTTGATAAAGCATAGACCAACCAACCCTCATATATATATATATATATATATATATATATATACCCTAATTTTAACTTGTATCTTCTTCAATGAAAATGTGAAGAAAATATTGTTGAAATTATCAAAACATATTTCAATTCATACCACGTTAAAAAAGAATGAGTTTCATATTATAAACTTTGGGTAGATTACAATTTAGAGTTATTGTATTTCATTAATGTATTTTAAGACTTTTTATTTACTTTAGGTTACAATTACATAATGGTTAATTATGGCCATTAAGTATGAATGTTACAACCCTTGGAATGTCTTTAATAGTTTCATTTTGAGGCTATATAAACCAATGTATGTTGTATTTGTGAGTAGACTTGGAAAATATAGTAAACGAAGCATTTGTGCTTTTCTTTAGCCAATGGCTAAGTTTATTTGCAATTCTATGTAGTTTAGGTTGCATGTAGAATCATTCAAGCTCGACATGATCAATCTTGTTTGTGGAGTGATTCGAATCTCAAACAAGTGTTTGAGATATTTGATCAACAAGAATCATTCAAGCTAGACATGATTGTTCTTGCTTGTGGAGTGATTCGAATCTCAAACAATGTTCTTGCCTTGAGATATTCGATCAACAAGGTAATCTGAATCTTACTCCCCTTGTAGTGATTCCTTATCATATCAGATCTACTTTAGGTCATAAATTAGTTTAAGCCCACAAATCTAACGTTTACAACACATCCCACATAGATAAAAATGCATAAAAATTCACCGCTCAAGAGAAATCCAACTAGTTCATCTCACTTTATGTGGTTGATTATAACAGTCTAGGGTTTTTTCTTACGGGCTTCCTTGAACGATCTAAAACGCGTTTACTAGGAAGAGGTCTTCACACCCTTATAAAGAATGTTTCGTTTTCATCTCCCACCGAAGTGGGATCTCACACCAATATTCCATTCTCTTCAGCCATTAACAGTACTATCCTATTCAAGTATAATACAAATTCTAGTCATATATGTGACCGTATATTCATAACCCGTAAAACGAGTTATTGGATCACGTTATCTTGTCGAACTTTTATCGAAAGCGTTGTATCAAATCTCTTTGATTTGGGTTTCGATATCGTGTTTAGTGGTATGGTACATGTGTTTGACCACTCCATTAGGGTTAGTCCGTCTTACCATGCAAAGAAAAATAGGAGATGTGGGTTGGTTGGAGCCAAATGGGTGAGGATATTAGTGAAGCCATTTGTGGCCCTCACTCTCACCACCTTTGTAAATGGGAGAAGTTATGATTTGCAGCTCTCTTTTTTTCTTGTCTTTCAACATCAATTCATGTTTGATAAACCTAATTAATGCTTCAATTTCATTCCCATTTTGTAATTTTGTCTTTTGAAACTTCGACATTTGGTCTTTGATGTTTACGTGTATTTCGTATCACACTCGTGTTTTCAAACCATTCTCGATATGCAGTAGAATAAGTGCTTTAAGTGGAACTACTTTTCACCGGTTATAGTCTGTCTCGAACTCTCGCTTTTTTTAATTATTATTACTTTCGGAGAAGAAGGTTTTATTTTGTAGCTCGTAAAAAGTATATTGTCTTAACCAGACTAAAAAATGTATTTAATATATACAATAAAATTAAAAATATATTGAAACCGAACACTTTATAAGAAGTGTACAAACTGAATGACAAGTAACCAACATTCCACTTTTGGTATATATAAAAGTAGTAATCATAACACGGTCAAGTTGTGTTATGGAAAAATTGATAGAACTTAGCTTAATTCACGGTTTCGATAATGCATGTTTATCTTTAACATAAAAAATACTTTCCAATAAAATTTCATAAATAATTTCTATAATTTGATAAAAATATTTACAAATAAATTTTTTTTTTTTTAATAGAGTGTTTTATTTATTTTTTCATTTACAAATTTATAATTCAAGTTCATGCATTTAAATAGATGAAAATTAAGGCCCTAAATTAATAAGAAATAATTACACAAATTTGCACGGTTATTATTTAAGTTTAAATCTCTAATGAAATAGAAATAAAATAAGATACAATTCTATTTTTAACTTTTATAATACTTTCAAAAATATTCATTTAAATAATTTTTATTATTAATATTGAATGCCGTATTATGCTAAAATTTTGATATAAAAAATGTCATAAAAAACAAATAGTTAATTTAAAAAAAAAAACTAAAATTGAAACTAAACAAATTAAAATTAAAATTACATAAATCAAAATACTAAACTAGAATTATTTATTTTTTGGAAGATTTAAACACGTAAACTTATTCTATCCTTACCCATTTTTTAAAATTTTGGGATTAGAAAACCGAATAATAATCATAATAATAATAATAATAATAATAATAATAATAATAATTAATAGTAATATAGAGGCAAGTCGTGGTATCTATAAAATGGTGAAGTTTGAGGAGAAAAGGGGGAGAGATTGCAATGGCACATAAAAACGTTCTTCTTCTTTTCTTGTTTCTTTTCTGCTTCATTCCCCTTGCAACCCAAGGTAATTAATTACATACAAATCTTATTATTATTTTTATTTTGTTCATTCCATTCGAGTTCATTAATTTTTTTTTTTTATGCAGCTCGAAATATACATAAATCTTGTTATAAATGTGAAATAGAGACGAACGAAGAAGATTTAAACCCTATGAATGATGATTCAGTATATCATCTTGACTACACTCCACCAAAAAAGAATCGTCCCGTCCATAATTAAGATGTTATATATATATATATATACTTGGATTGGAATGTTTATGTATTGATCTTAAAATGAATGTTTTAGCGTGTATTGAAATATTTTAGTGTGTATTGGAATGTTTTATGTATTGATCTTAAAATGAATATTTTTGGTTTTGTATTTTAATTAGCGTAAATAAAAGGAGTGTTTTAGTGTATACATCAATTTTATCATTTACCTACTTTTTTTTTTCTTTTTTTTTTTTTTT